TTGTGGGAAGATCACCCACCTCATCTAGACTGACCCAATCTGGGAGCATGACAAGAACCTGACCCACTCTGTCTAAGGATCACCTGCCTCTAGGCTGCTGGTGTCCACCTCATGTGGTCCTCAAGTCAGCGCTCAGTGAACAGGCTGTGGACCTGCTGTCCTCCATCCTATAGCAGGAGGTTGCTTTCTCTGTAGAACTGTCACAGGAGAACCTAGTCACTGCCTCTCACCAGCCACAGTACTGCTGGGTTTTCAATGACTCAAAACCTCTGAGACAGTCTCAGGCCTGGAGTCCAGGCCTCAATGGCCATGAGCTGGTACTTTTAGTTTTGACGACTCCAGCCACTTTTGCTTTGAGTGTGGGTCTCTATTGCAGTGATTTGGGGCCCACATCAGTGAAACCTGGAAAAAGCCTTGCAGGACTCTACGGTGTGAATGACACACATGGCTGAGCTCAGTAGGAAACAAGAACTGACCAGCCCTTGGGAAAAAGTTGACCAAGTGGAGAGAAGGACACTGGCAGAGTAGGTCGTGTGCTTCAGTTACAAAGAAGGGGCAGCTTCACTGAAGTCAGCATCTCTGGAGCCACAGGGCTACCATGGAACCTGATTTTGCTCTCGATGCTGTACCAGGGAGGGCAGCGCCCAGGACCAGGGAGAGCTCCACCCTCCTCATTATTCCTCTGTGAGGATTAAGCGTTGGAGGTCTGAGTTCTTTCTCCTTGGAGCTGATAAAGGGACTGGGTGCTGGTGGGCATCTCAGAGCAGCCCAGCTGCCTTTGAGACCCTTACTCTAAGTGAGCGGGGTTTCCAAGCTGCCTTGGAGTTCAGGATTGTGCACCTCGCCTATCTGGCTCACACAGAGGCACCCATATTATAGGACTTCGCCTTCCCATCTCAGTAGGATCCTCCAGGGCTATAGTTAGTCATGTGCTTTTTGTAAACTCTTGTGGCTCACTCCTCCTGCAATTGTTTGATCTCATTTCTGGAAGGATCAGTCTTGCTGGGAGTAACATCCTCCAGTTAAACCCATCTGGCTGAGATCCAAGATGGGAACTGCAGGCAGAAGCCAGTTTTGTTCTTTTGCTGCATCGCTGAGAACATCACTTAAGGTGCCAAAAGCCCATCCTTAGTGACCACAAAGCTGATGTGGAGTGCAGAGGAGTGGCGAAGGCAGCAGGGTTCATCTGGAGCTTCCCCCTGGTGCTTTGATACCTTAGTCCACTAGAAGAGGGCAGAAACAGCGGATGGCAATTGCCACTGTACTAAGAACACTACAGTTCTCCTAGATGAAGCAACCAGTACACTGGATGCCCAGAGTAGGCACCTGCTGCAGGAGGCGCTGGATGGACTGACGGTGGGCAGAAGGCTGAGGTAGGAGAATTTCTGGTAGTTAAAGGCCAGCCTAGGCTCCCATAGTGAGTGCAAATCTGGCCCAAAGTACATAGTGACATGCTGCCTCAATAAACCAAAATAATAATAATAACAATAATAATCCAGCAAAAAACCAGAATTTTGATTTAAAGGAGCCAAAGTCAGATATTCTGAGAGAGAAGTCACTCCTAAAAAAAGAAGTATAGGTGAAGTTTCAGTTCATCTCCCCTTTGAAAGTTATGAAGATAGCTGTGAAGATCTTAGACAATATTGTAACTTAAATATAATTAATAATATGCTTATTTCTGTTATATCTTATCCTGTGAGAATGGAAGAATGGCAAGACTTCCATAAGGAACTTTTTGCTGTTTAACTGCATCCTAAGAACAAACTCCAAAGTTTCAAAAGACTGATGAAAATAAAGGTTCACATTTTGTTTTTCATACTAAAGTTTTCTCTCATCTGCCTCCATCTTTCCAGCAGTAGATTTCATAATTGATAATATACCATTTGTTTCAAAATATGTATGGAACCAGTGAATTATTAAGACTGCTGGAGTTTTAGGAATGATTATTGTACAGCCAGTAGCATGAAACTTGGCAGAGTAATCATGGAATATCCTGAGAAAATATAACAAACAAGTTGTTTTGCATTTTCATTTTCAGAATGTGTCTGGTAAGCATTTTCCAAACAACCACTGCCCTTATGCCCTTGAAATGTGTATAGATCAGAAATCCTGAGTCTTAATTATTTTATCTTGCTTCAACTTATCACACCGGTGAATGGCAGAGTCATAATTTCAACCCAAATCTCCTTAATTTTTTCCATTACCCCTATTGTTTATCCTTAAACACATCTTTAAAATTTCCTCTGTTTCCTGGGGTTCAAAAGAGACAGCACAGTGGTTCCCCCTTCTCTGCTATTCCCTTCTTGATCTCAGTCACTATGGCCAGCTCTGCCCTATGGAGTGCAAATCCCCATCAGGAACGGCTGTCACTCTTCCTCTCTACAGCCACTCCAGGCTTGCACCTCCACAAGAGGCAATAAACTGCCACCGCTGGTCCATTCATTTAGCAAAGTGACTGAAGCTCAGCCCTGTATGGGCCCAAAAATGAGGTAGGTGTGTTTCCCACACTTTACACTGCTAGTGACTATTCTGGCTTCCTGATGTAATGCATGCTCCAGGGAGAGTGGTCACCTTTCTCCACTCTGAGAGCCAGCAATCAATCCAGGAGTTGTGGCACATCCCTGTGATCCCAGCACTTTGAGAGGCTGAGTCAGGAGGATCTCTGTGACTTCAAGGCCAGGTTGGTCCACATAGTGAGTTAAAGGCCAGCTCCAACTATATAGCTAGACTGAGCCTCAAAAATGCAAAATAAGAAAGAGAGAAACAAGAAAACAGTGGCAAGGATCAAAGCCAGCAGTCATGTCATTCTGACTCCTACACTGTCAGCACATCTTATCCGACTCTAAATGCTCTACTTGAGTTCACTCTTTTCTCTTTACTGCGGTGTACACAATAGCTGAATCAAACAGGTATTTGGAGCACAGCCCCAGTTACCCAAACGTGCCCCATCAGTAGCCATAACATAGCGTCCTCCTGCAGGAGCGGCTCAAACCTTCCCCTCTGGCACACATGTCTGGGAAATGGAGGTGCAAACTCTTAGGATTAGGTTCTAAGGCTTTGTGAGGAATCCTGGGAAAGAGAAGCAACACTGACTTCCTCTGATGGTGCCTTTCTACTTCTTTGTTTCTGAGCAGGTGGCCATTTCGATCTCTTCTCCACCTCACACATTACCTCACCATATGGCCTATAAGACTACTGGGCTGGTAGCGTGTTCCTGGAGTACGGTATGGTGCAGCGAGCTTTCCCTCTTCTGTAGTTTCCTCTCACACTTACTCTGGTTCCATCTTATACCTTTCATCCCCTCTCCCCCGGGTTCCAATGCACTTTTTATTTACTGCTTTTGATGACTACGGAAAAGACAGCATAGTACACATTCATGACTGTGGAATGGATTTTCTGCAGTCGTCTCCAATAGGGTAAAAACTCAGAAAAACAAAACAAAACAAAATAAAATAACCTGAATGCTGGAATTCAATTCTTCACATGGAGTCCCTTGTAAAAACAAAACAGAATCAAAAATAAAACAAAAAGAAGGAGGTCAAAATTCAAAAAGGAAAGGAAAAGGAGGGAAGTTAAGAGGGCTCATTGCTTTTCTGACTTCTCTTCCCCTCCAGGGTCCTTGTTCTCCATCTCAGAGAGAGCTTCTAGCTTTTCAGCTAATTTTTTTCCCATTACCATTTTTGCCTGGTTCTCTCTCATCTCTCTCCTTTCTCTCTCTCTCTTCTCTCTCCTTGTCTCCTCTTTCTTCTCCACCTCCTCCTCTCTTTCTCTCTCCCTCTCCCTCTCCTTCTCTCTCCAGTCTCTTTCCTGCATTATTCAGACTTTGTTTTAAATTTTTGTGCATTCTCAGCATTTAGGAAGCCATGGCAAGCAGCTCACTGGGGTACTCACCTGGGAACTCAGCATGGGTATCCAGAGACAGGCACGGTCACTGCCAGCGTTTGGCTTTAGTTCCATCATGGGCGTCATGCAGTGGTGGGCGCTGATCTTCAGGGTCTTGCCCTTCCTAGTGAGGAACAGGACGGTCCCCTTCTCCTTGTGCTTTAGGAGCCTGACGTCACCGACGCCTGTTCCTTGCCCTCTGCGCTTATCATTTTCTGAAGCAATTTGGGACAAATTTGCTCGCGTTTTTAAAAGTTCCTCTTCCACTTCCTTCAGCATTTTAATTTCCTGCTCGGGAAAAGAAATTGTTGGTGCAAACTGGGGTGTGATGGTTGGGCTCATCTGCATTGGCAGTGCTGGGAGGGGAGGCGGCTTAGGCTGACAGGGTGCCACCGTGACCTGGGAGTGTAGCAACTTCCCCTGCTCCTCTCTTCTCTTGGCTTCCAGGACACCACAATGCAAGCAGCTGTTCCTTTGCTATTCCTTGCTCCTCTGTCACGTTGTCCCGCCCTGGAGCCAGGCAACTGCGGGCTGAGCACATGAAGTTGTGAGTGTCCAATATCGTGTCTCAGTGATGGGACAGCAGCTAAGATCCCGAGTCCAGGCAAACTGCATGCAAGTTTTCCTGTTACTTCTTATCCAAACCCAATGCTATTCTTGAATTCTCCCCAGCCTCCATTCATGTTGATAAATCCTATTCCTCCATCAGTACTCTGAACAGAATTAGGGTCTTCTCTTCTAGTTTGCAAGTGACCATAATTAAAGATCAATGTCAGTCCTTCCCACAGTCCTATTCCAGGAATGAAACAGAGGCAGAGGATACCAAATAAGACATTCAAGTATGTAAAAAGGTATTCAAGTCAAAGGCTGACAAAAAGATAACTTTATATAGCCACACTTTGCAGAACAAACAGGACCCACTGACTAACAGTATTGAGTAAAGTGAACTGTATGGGTGTTCAAATCCAGGGACTTAGAAATTCCTTATGACTGACAATGAAAATATCGATTGTTTATAGTTTCATTACTCAATGTTGGTATAATTATTTCTTAATAATTTCTTTCATAGCTCCAACATTTATTTGAACCCGGAAGTCTATGCAGCAGCCTTCTTCCTGAAAACTATGAAACGCTTCACAAGTTTGTGAGTCTTCCTTGTGCAGGGGCCATGCTAATGTTCTCTGTATTGTTCCCCTTTTAGTATAAGAGCTGCCAAAGCCAGCACTTATTTCTCAATGATTAACACAGTATAATAGGAATACACTGATAAATGTTATCAGTGTGATAGTGGTTCAGATGATAAAACCTGTAGAGTTTGGCTATCATAGTACTTACATGGAAGAAATTAAACTTATAAAAAAGAAAATAGCCAAGAGTTAAATATAATTTCCAAAAATGTTTCATACCTATATCTAAGAAACTTGCAAAGAAATGAAACATTAACATTTCTGTCTCTCTTCTAAGACTATGTTGAGAAGGGAATAGTCAGATGGTTAAATTCATTTATGGAGGGTGTCCTAGAAAAGAAACTACACCTAGATTTTCAGAGAGCTACTGAGAGATGATTTACAGCAAATGTCTGTAGAAAATGCCCTCCTCCTTTATAGTGCTCTGAGGGCTGCTGCATACTCAGAAATTTTGTATTGACTGCTGGCATGCGGAAGAATGGAGTAAGTTTTCAACAATCTATCTCATCCATTCATTTCAACAGGAAATATATAGGACCCAACAAAAATAAAGATATGAGGACTCTGATAAATTCAGAATAGAAAGTAAATAGAAAAAGCACATAGACTTGAATACCTACCCACAGCACAAGTGAGACTTTGGATTTTTCCCTCTTTTTTACTTGGGGTTAGCAAGATTGAAAGAAGGACCAATTGTGTGCCTTACACTGTAGGCAGGGTTATAACACAAAAGCTCCAACAGCAACTCCTGCTTCGAAGCCAAGGGGCCAAGAAAAGAGTCCCTTGTTAATAGAAACTGGAGAAAGTCTTTATTTTCTCATGATAATGATAATAATAATTATGGTGCTCTGTATTAAAACTCATTTATTAGGCCAGGGATAAAGCTCAGTGGCACAGCGCCTGCCTGGCAAGCACGAAGTTATCAGTTTAATCTTACCCAGTATCAAAATAAATTTTAAAAATTTAATTAATAAATAACAAAACAAAACTCATTTACAGAAAGCATGAATGGGGGAGGGTAAAGCAGTAACTTTTGTCCCTGTAAGTGAAATTTCATAGCCTCCTGTTCCCATAACATCCTGTTATGTCCAAGCAGGCCCACCAAGATACAAAAGTGTCATAGCTTGACAAATTGTCTTTGTTCTGCCTGCCCACAAGTTTCATGCAAAGACCAACCACTTGACCAAATGTATAGAAGCTGGAAGATGTCCTTTGTCCTTTGCTCAGGCATTTTGGACTTATCAGCTGAGCTGATATCCATCTAAAAATAAAGTTCTCCTGTTTTTCCCGGTTGGTCTCTCCTATTTCTTAACCTCTGCAACACTACCAAGTATCCTTGGAATCTGAGGGCTTGCACATCCCGAGGAGCACAGATGCTAACCTAACCCTGTGTGAGCCACAGGTGTTGTTGGTCCCTTTGCTCCTGCAGGTGGTCTTTTCCTGGGCTCCATGGATTTTCTCCATGGAGATGAACTCATCTGTAATGAGCTGCAGTCTCTCTGGCTCTCTGGAGAGCTCTGTGGAGCTTTAGGCTCAGCCAGTTCTGGGCCCTCAGTCATCCAGCTATCCTGACATTTCCCCCACTTCAGAAAGGCAGATAGGTCTCTTCCTCCCCATGCTGAAGGGAATCTCCAGGCCATACAATGGTGCATCTTTGTCTTTCTTTCACTGTTTCTCTTCTTGCATTTGTGTAATCTCTATTGCTCAATGTCTGAAAACTGCTCTTCTATGTCGTAAGTCTGAATTTGTACATGTTTAAGATTAATCAGCCAATCCAATCACTCTTAGTCTTTGTGAAAAGTAGCTCTCTAAGGAGTTTGTTCAACCATGGGTTACATTTCTTTAATGCAGATGAGATTTTCATCTTATCCACTTTTATCTTCACTGAGATCTGGCATTGCATGTCTTTCAGTGAACTGGTTATTTCATCTCAGTTGCTGACTTATTAATATTAGTCTTTTCTAGATGTTTGTTTGAGTAAATGATGTCAGACAAACCCTGGGCAATCAAGAGCAAAATGGAGGATAGATATTGAGAAGCAGAAAGAACATATTTAAATGGGAAAGGGAACAAGGGAGGGCAAAGGGAAAGAGGAAGAGAAAAGAGATTTAAAAACAAAGAATGGCAGGAAAAAATGGAAACAAAGCTTCTGTAAATGGCAAGAGGAAGAAGGGTTAAAGACAGGGGCGGTAGATGGGGGGAAATTAAGATATATTAGATATAGGTACAGATTCCCCGTGATGATTCTAAGCACTATGTACGTCAAATATGTGGAAATGAAAATGATACCAGACAAGTTTTGGTGGTTTTGGGGTGAGTTGCCCATCTGTTTCTGGAGAATGCTGTGTAGGACCTTGTATCGTTATTAGGAATGGGCCTCACTGAGGGTCCATGTCAATATGCCGATGTAATAGCCACATTTCAGAAAGTACCCATGTGGGTCATCACCAAAGAATTGGGACAGGAAAAGGGAAACTTCCAGAATCTTGGTCACCATGGTTTGTCATAACCCTGTTTTGTCTGGTAACTCCCAGGCATAGATCAGCCATCCCAGGAGCTAAGCATTCCAGAATTTGGGTCCTCCCAATAAAACCCCCAGCTTCTGTCTGCACCTTTGAAAAAGAGGCTTCATGACTCCTGTGAATATTGCTCATCCCTGATAAGTCCTAAGCATAACTCAGTGCCGGATGGAGCCTGAAATCATGGCTTTTCTCCTCATTGTACACTAGTTACCCAAAGTCAGTTGCCCAGGATTGGTGCTTCTAAAGGAAAATAAAACTGACAGCCTTAACTATCAGAGTGCCAGCTATGACTGGCACTACTGTCATCCCAGGTATTCCTTTCTCTATGCAGCTAAGGTAGAAACTCTACCTCCTGGCAGAAGCCACGCACAATGCTAGGCACAGCAGGTGACTGGGGTTTCATGAAGTTCAAATTTTGGTCTTGTGTGTGTCCTGGAGTAGATGCTGTAGTCATTTCTTCTGAAGTTGGTAGAAAAAGAAAATTTTAAAATATATAATTGGTAAATGAAAAGATAAAAATTATTTCTTTTAGTGTCCTACCTTAGTTAGTTTTCTCATTGCTGAAACAAAATACCCAACACTAAAGCTAAAGGAGGAAAGGTTTACTTCAGCTCACAGTTGTGGAGGTTTCAGTTCATAGTAAGCTGGTTCCAAGGAAGAGCCACATGGCAGAGGTGCATAGAAGAGAACCAGTTCATGGCATGGCAAGCAGAAGGCAGCGAGCCATAAGCAACAAGCAGCAAACAGTAGCCTGCCTTTCCCTTTTATTCCATTCAGGCTACCAGTCTTTAGAGTGGTGCCCTTGGGACTACGCTAACTCTAATCAGTGGACTAAGTTAGTACCCCACACATTTAATCCCAGTATCACACACCCTAGATCCAGCCATCCCCAAAGAGCCCCACCTATGAACTCCTGAGGCATCAGAGGGATGTGTAGACATAAACCACAGTATTTCCCTGGTGTAGTTTTATGAGCTCTTGGTAGAGGAGAATAAGGCTGCCAGGCACCAGTGCTTCCATACCCATTACCGCCTCCTGGAAAGACCTAGTACCACATGGCTTCCTCTCAGCAGGGATCCCATCCCACTGTCTGCAGGCTGTAGTGGTCCAGGGTCTTTCTAACCTCTACTTACCCTTCTGCCTATAAACGTAGTTAAAAGCCCAGTATACTGAAACCCTGCCCCACCTGATCAATGATCTCTGCTTCAGCCTTGCTCTGTTGAATCAGGAAACAACGTTTGGGTCGCAGCATCTGCAGAGCCCATGAGTAAAGAAAAGCACATTTTCTGAACCACAGTGTTAATTTACTAAATTTAATTTATTATGGTTATATAATACTTATTTACACTGATGCTGATTTTATCATGCATGGTACATTTTATTAGTATATAGTTACAACATATGGTAAATATATTCAGCACAGGGAACTGGCACATGTACATATCTCTTCTTGATCCTTTGTAGTACCACTTTTGTTCCCAGCTCTCCTGTCTCCCCCAAACTACCCTTCTCATTTCCTTTTAAATGCATGCATGTATATATATATATATATATATATATATATATATATACACACATGCATAGCACATATACATACATGCATACTATATATGCATGTATACCATATAAACATACATGCATACATACCATACACACACACACACACACACACACACACACATACACATATATGTTTTGAGGCAGAATCTTGCTTTTTTTAGATCAGACTCAAACTTTGGGGCCTCCTGCTTTAACCTCCCAAGTAACAATGATGTAGGCTAGTACCACCCTACTCAGCATCATTTTTAACAATGTAAGATTAACATATATATATTCACACAAAAACAATATACCTGGAACAACTGTTGTAATATACTAAGGGTTTTTGTTTGTTTGTTTGTTTTGTTTTTATCGGTACCAGGGATCAAACTCACGACTGCCTGCTTAGAAGGCAGGCCCTTATGCCGCTGAGCTAAATCCCCAGCTCCACTATTGTAATATACTTGGAACAGCTCTTTCTCTGGTTTATGGCATGTTTCCTTTAGTTTCTCATTCATTCATTTCATTTAGATCTTTCTGTTCCATTTTGTCTCATTTCTCTTGAGTTACTATGAAATATCTGGACGTGCCTTGTGCAGTTTTTCTACATGTTCTGTTCTTGTTCTTCCTTTTAGAGAACTACATGTAGCTTCCTGCACTCCATCTTTTTTTTTTTTTTTTTTTTTTTTTTTTAGACAACGGGAGGGAGCAGCATTTCATTATGTGGTTCAGGCTGGCCTTAAACTCACTGTGTAGCCCATTTTGGCCTTGACTTGCAACTGTCCTCCTGCCTCAGCGCCCTGAATGCTGCATTGCAATCGTGCACCACCACCACCAGCCTTCATCTTGACCATTTTTGCTGCCCGTGCTCATACCATGCAGGGACACTGATTTCCTAAGTCATATTCCCAGGCCAATTGTCCTTCTGTCTTTGCCCCTTACCCGTTTCCCTTTGGTTCATTTCCTCTACCAACCAA